GTTCAAGACTTCACTTGTTCCTCAGGGAAATCAGGAAAGGCCAACAATTGTTTCACACTCAGAGCAGCCCATGTTCTCTGATGTGGAGTGTGAATTTTCATATCAGGGGTGCACTGAGCTCTTAGATTCTGCTCTGGTTTGAGAAAAGTGAATTTACAAGATAGCACTTGTCATTTGTTTCTATCCTTTGGGAAGCCCAGATGAAGGAGAACATTGGATCCCCCCCATTTGCCTCTACATGGAATTTGGGATTATGTATGTTATAAAATTCCAGAGGAGTAAATTCATCCTTATTTGAAGGGTTTTGTCTTCTGAGATATATCTGAGACAGCTGCCTTTGGAGGTTAAAAGCACTTGATGCCCTCCCTACATTCTCGGTTGCTCATGAGAAGTATCAGATCTAATATGACTTATGCAAAGTATGTATCTTATTGCTTGGCTAAAAAGGTTAGGTTTGTCTCTGAGGAATGATTTTTAAAGGTTACTTTAATGTCAAATTAGTGGTTTTGATTTCATAGTAATACAATCTTCAGTGTTTGGTGGATTCTTTTAGTTAAAATAGCTATTGGATGACATTTTAAAAGCAATCTGCTGTTTTGCCTAGCTGAGATTTTAAAGCATAGTGATTAAAAATGGAAGGTCACAAAAGCATTACTAAAACAGTTGCCCTTAATTTTAAATGCTGAAGTATAATTTCTCTCCCTGGACACTTATCCATATCCGTATCTTCACATGCTTATCCATATCTATATCTTAAGTATTATGCAGCTTCAGCAGCTGCAGACCCTGACTCAGACCCTGACTCAGAATTGGGTGCCCTCCTCGTGCTAGGCACACACTTAGTGCCTTTCCCTGCTCCTGGAAATTTTCATATGTAAATTCAAAAAGGCCTAGGAAAATATAAGTGGAGAAATGGAGAGTTAATGGCTTGTATATGGGCATGCTTCAGATCAGTAGCTAGATTTGGATTACAGCCCAGACCTTGTACACCTCTATCCAGTGTGCTGGCTACTTAACTCCTGACTAAACTATGCAAGAATACATTTCAGTCACCACTGAATTAGAAAACTTATTTGCTGTATCAAACCCCCCTGTGATCCATAGTTGTTAACAATGTCACTTCTATCATATTTTTCAAGAGAAAGGGTTGATCTCCATCATTTTTTTTGAAGTAGTACCTGGTTTTGAAGACCAGAAGCGCTATGAATATGAGCATAACTTGGCATAGTCATGTAGTCTAAAATATAATTGTTGGGAATTAGTTTATCACATAAGTTCCAAGGACTCTAGACAGTAATCCCCTCCAAAAGTATCTATTCACACAGTAAGAGCCAGTCCCCAGGTTGTAGAATTTGTACCATGAGTAGTAAACTAGATTGAAGCGTTCTCTTTTTTTTTTCCATAGTTATTGGTTTGTTTAACAGGGTTCTTAAAACAATGAGCAATTGCTACTGGTTCATTGCCTTACATTGTTTTAATGGACAACTTCCATTTTCCTTCTCCTGCTTAGGAAGACTGAAAATCATCTTTGCTTACTTTTTATTCTACTGTGTGTGGCATGTACTTCAAAGTACCAGTGATTATCTAGGCAGAAAAATAAAACCTTACTAGCATCCAGCTTCTCTTTCCAAACACGTCGAGGCACAGGTAGACTTACCAAATGGCTCCTGTGGTCTTTGTGCATGCTGGATCTGCATGTGCAGTCTCTCAGTTTATACTCACACATATCAGAGAGAGGTGCCTGCACAAATGTGAGAGTGGGGCTTATTAGCTTTACCTGGGATGCCAGCTTAACCACTGAAAGCTGGTCCAGAATGCAGTGATCTTGTGCAAGATTTTCTGTTGAATAAATACTTGTATGATAATAATATTAAAGTCTAGAAGATTTCTCTTTTAAAGCTTCCATTTAATTTCCTCTTCAGCTTGTCCATTGCAGAGAAAGGGAAGTAAGGCAGAAACTACAGCAATTTTCCCTTTGAAACTGTCTTTTCCCCAATTCTCTATAACCCTAATTTGCAGACTTGGCATTACACAGTTCTTCCCAAGAGGAAGAGGATTCAATCTTTGTCATTTCTCCACATCCAAATGAATGTGTTGTTAGAACAGTCCCATTTTGACATCTCTTGACCTGCCAAGGCTCGCAGTCTGTTCTTACATCTGCAGGGGGAAGATCATTTCTGATCACTAACTGAACACACCGAATGATAAATGTTGTATATCCAGGCCTACTAGCCTTCTTGTGTTCTCTTCTTTTGTTGCAAGAAAGTGTCTTTAAAGTTCCTGTCAGGCAGCAGCCCAGAACTATATGTATTTTGTAGGATTTATGTCTTTGTCCATGCTGTCTATTCTGCTTTAGCTGTGACCGTGCTCCTCAGCTAAACAGTCCCAGTACGTGTGTTTTCAGGCTGCTCACAACTACAACAGCCCTACAAAAACTGGTAATACATTTGCTTTAGATGCTTTAGGAAGCTTGCCTCTGGGCTAAAACTGAACAGAATTTTTGCCTTGTAGCAGAGCAGAACAGGAAAAGGAAAGCAAGAAATCTCTGTGTATCTTCTGCCAGAGAGAACAAGGGCATGAACTTTACTGGGCAATCTTTCCCACAACACCCTACAGGCATAAAATGAGGGTTGTGCACGAAGCTGGAACCAGTTGCAAGAATGAGACTTCTGGAACCTGTGCTGTAGGGGGAAGACTTGGAAAGGAGATGTGCCTTTTGTCCAGATCTGGTCCTAACTATAGTCTGCAGGACTATCATTGTGGTCTACAAGACTACATACATCTGCACATAATTGCAGCTTACAAGAAGAATCAGCACCTGTGTTTAGAGTGCCATAATGCAACTCATACTGACAAAGTCAGAACAGAGTAGTCATGACACAAATGCCTCTGAGATATGGGGAAAACCCCCATCTAGGTCAGATGTAGCTCTGGGTCTAGAAGAAGTTGGAAGTTAGGACTGAGTTTCTTCTCATGGGTGACAAGCAATAGGCAATGCTTCACAGAGGCAGGTAGCTTCTGACATCCTAAGGCACATGACAACTTTCCATCAGTCATCCCACTGCTCAGCTGGTCCAGCTTCAGCAAGCATTGGGCTTTGCATGGTGTTGGTCTTAGATATGCCTTTCCACGTCCCCTTGGGTGTATCCAGAGGAGGCAGCTCTGACGGGCCTCTTGGATTACATGCATTTGTGGTAAGTGCCAACACCTGGAAACAGCATATCAGAGACCTGAGGTAGAGCTCACATTTCATCTGAGCAAGTGTCTGTGAGCAGTGCCTGTCAGCAAAATGAGTGCTGTCCCAGGGAAGGAAGTAGTAGTCTGACACTGGGGCTGCTATCAGGGACATCAGGAAATACAGTAGGCTTCTGCCATATAGCTGACACTAATTTTTCTCCTTTACTGCCAGCCTGTGCTTCTGGGATGTGTTTCTGCTCCCTTTTCTGATACTGTGTATATTATTGCTGATATTTTCACTCAACTGGGCTGCAATTCAAATTTTGGAGTGTTTCTACATACCTTATTGAACCAATGCCTGGTGCTCCTGTCATCATATGATTGCTTTTCAGTGTGGCAGAAAAGTAGCTACAAAGGTGTTTCCTAATGTGTCAAGGGCACACAACAAGACTTGGGCGATCTAGCATGTAATTGTGCCTTACTAAAGGGTTCTGCCTCTGGTTTGCTGGTTTGTGTTTTTTTTTTTTTTCTCTGCCATTTTCACAGATCTTCTTAATAATGAAAATATTTGCAGAATTTTATTCTGCATATTGCATCTGATTTTTTTTTTTTCCTGGTCCCCAGCTGGACTTTTCTTCATGTTTTCTTGTTGAAATGGCTTGGAAACAATCTTGCAGCATCACTGCTGTCCTTGCAAAACCTCAAGCAGCAATGCAACCTCCTTCAGTGCACCAGCAGTACACTTGTATCTGTGTTTTGCTCTTATCAGTCTGGGGTGATATTTGGCCCAGAGATCAAGAATTAATTTCCACAGCTGCTTGTTTATGTTCATCCTTTTAGTGTCTTGTCCAACCAGACAGGAAATCTTGTCTCGTTGCCACAGAAAGATATAATTGCATTAGGAGGCAGGACAGCACTGGTGGGTGTGGATGGACATGGCAACACAAGAAGTAGTGGATAGTTTTTATTAGCATAATAGAGAGTTGTGATTCAGCCTCTTCTGTAGGCTGTGGCAAGTTTTAGAAGGATCTGTGGGAGAACAAAGGGACATTAAGATGGGTGTAAAGAACTCTTGGCTTTGAGAGGCCGAGGTTCCTTATGGAAGACTCTTTTTTCAGAACACGATTCTGGTCCCTTAGGCAGAACTCCTAACATAACATGGAAGAAGATTTTGAACAGATGCAGGCACCTTGGTTCTGAGCATAAGAGAAAGCCATGGAGTTAGCTGGTGAGCTTCTGTGAGAGTTTTAATCACTCTGGTCTGCATCAGAAAAGGATCTGGATCCATGCATGACACAGCAAATTGTCCTTTTGGAGATGTTCCTGTCCTTCCAGTGCTGTATTCAGATGATATAAGCACAAAAGCAAAATAATTTTTTTAATAATGGTTTGGACTGGTATGACTTTGGGAGTAGACTCCCCTATCTGTGATGAGTCTGGTGTTTCTGCAGATCTGCCAGTAGAAGGTATCAATTCTGATCAATCAGGTTGTCTGTGTCAGACCAGAGTAGCATAGTTTGAGTCATGAAGGGCAGAATAGATTCCAAAAGAAGGAAATTAAGATAATCTGTGCTAAGGTAAGCATGAAAGCCTGTGGAGCAAAATTTTCATGTGAGAAAATGAGAAAAGAAACAAAAATACTTCTGGATTTCCTATGATGTGAAATTGAAGAAGAAAATTACAGACTAGGTCAAAATAAATATTTATCAAGGAAAGTAAAAAGAACATTTCTTTCAGCTTGAAGAAGTCTCTCTTGTGGTTTAAAGAAATCCATTGACCTTCTGTCCAGAGTCACGCCTGCAGGTGACATTGAGAGCATTTTGTTTCCCCCAGTTTCCAAGCATTCAGTTTGCCACATTCTTCTGTTCTGAGCATACTAAAGCAGCACTATTGAATATCTCCAGAAATAGTGCTAGCTTGAGGTATTGAAATGCCAAGAGCTATTATAAGATAAATCAATTTGTTGGGTAGTATTCCTGAAAGCGCCTGACTACTCCCTCACATCTTGTTACCAGACCCAACTCAGCATTAAGAGCCAAGAAGGAATGCCAAGAATGAGTATTTTTACTCAAAACCCCTTTAACTGTAGCAGTGCTTGGAACCTTAACCTCCCCAAAAGAAATGTCTCTGTCCTTTGTTATGGAGGAGAGTGCTTTTCTTTCACTGTAAGCGGACAGTATGGCAACATGGAGTTTAGAGTGTGCTTTGAGTGTTCTTTTATTCTGCACTTTTTGATTCTCTTTGTAATAACATTAGAGTCAAACCACATGAGTTAATAAATGGTAATGCCACAGACCTTAATGGAAGATGAAGGTTCAGTGAGTCTATTTTTCCTGTAATGCAGTAAAGAGGCTTTAGGTAAGTTCATGTGATTGGATGTCCCAGTATTTCTTTCAGGTCTCTTCATGTTTGTAGCTGTGTATTCAGATTTTTCAATCCAGAAAAGGTAAGTCTTTAAATAATATTTGCGTTTCCTTCGAAGTCTTATGCCTTGGGATATTTATTGGATTTTGCTTCTGTTCTGTTTATTATCTACTCTATGTGAAACATTTACACTCTGCCAGTGAAACTTATCTTTTGAGAGAGCTGGGGAAGGAATAACTACAGGTTGTGTCCAGGTTTCAGTCCTGGGCTTGCTTCTGCAGTCTGAACTATGCACCATCTGGCTGATCTTCCACAGCACAACTCTGCCAGTTGACATAGAAATGCTGCAATGTGAAGGTGAGTCAAAGTGAGGTAGAAATGGCAAATTGTTCATGTGTGGTTACCCCTTTAACTTTTTACCTTTTTACTTTGGTGCCGTAGTTCAGCTGGATGTATGACATGGGTTCTAAAACTCCACATGCTATTCCGAGTGCAAAGCTATTCAGTGCTGAAAAAGTTTTTTGGGAGCTTCTTTCCATCAGAAAAAATGTGGGGATAGATGAAGCGCTGAGCTTCCAAAGTTCCCACTGTCATCTTAGGGTTAATCCTTAAACAGGCTTCACTTTGTCACAACTGAAATCTGAGCAGAGCCATTCTTCTATCGGAGTTTTGCGTTGAAAACATTAAGCTCTGCCTTTAAAAAGGCAATGCCCTTGAAGCTCGCTGGGATGCTGAGCTCTGCCAGAAGCTCTTGTTTTGCTGCTGTCCTTTCCCCAGTCTGTGCAGACTGCAGCAGCGTGGTGGGAGTGCGTCACACTGCAGTGCGCGGTCATCAGCTCTCAATGCAGACTTTGGAGGCTGCAGTGTAAGACTGCAAGGCTACGCTGCAGAGATGCTGAGCTTTTCAAAAGCTGCAGTTAGATCTGGTTGAACAAGCAAAGTGCTCACTGGCAGGATTAAGCCTGTTTTGCTGTTTGTCAGCACATCCTGTTCTTTGCAAATGTTTCTGTTGAGAGCCATAGGGCTAGGAGGAAAATCAACCCTCTGTTTGCCAGTCAGGTGGGAGAAAAAGGGTCTGGCTCTGGCAGCCTTCTTATATACATTAGAATGCTGCCCCAGAGCAGTTTGCATGCAGCATTGTTTGAAAAAACTATTCAGAAAGCCCCAAGATTTACCTTTCATGGTAGCCTATGGTATTGGTGAAAGGAAGGAGAGATCAGCAGCAGCACAAAATAGGCAGCTGACACAGAGAAAGAAATTCCTGCTCATTAAGACAGCTGAGGGTGTTTTATTTGAACAACATGGCTTTCATCAGGAAAATCCAACAGGAATCTGTAAATTTTTCCTGTATCTTTCTCAGGGCTAAGTAGGGCTGATGCTATGGGACCACGATGATGAATAGCTAGTTTAGCAGGGTGAGGAGCATAATGGTGGTGGTTTTGAGGTCAGAAAACTCTCTCCTTTTCTTCCACACACCCTTAATCATTACTGATGGGAATGATGGGTGAAAATGCTATATTCAAAATAACACCTTCAAACTACTTGTTGATCAGAACTACTTGAAGGCAATAAGACTCTGTGGGGGTATTTGGACTGGAAGCAGATGAGGAGGGCACTGTGGAGCAGACCACTGTTGTAGCACATTCTTTGCATACCTGCTAACTTCTCTTGTCAGGACATCAAGGGATATTGCTCTTGAAGCATCTTTGTAGGATCTTGCTCTCTTAAAGCCCAAGAAGATATCACTGGAAGGTAGCTTTTTGTAAGTTGAGATAACCTGTTTTAAGATTGGTTTCAAATATTTATAATCTGTCCCTGTGTTCCTAATGAGGAGAGCACAAAATATTTTCATATATTTAAACAGCTATATTTAAAAACAGATGGGTCTCTATCTCTCCAAGAGCGGCATCGATGGTTCTGTTCTACTCTTCAATGAGCAAATTTACCATTCAGCCTTCTCCTATTGCATTCCCCACATGGAATGTGGCATGTCTAGACAAGGACTTCTGTCAAAGGCATGTTTATTCAGATGTAAATAAGTCCAGTTATACACAACTGTGCTCCTTTATACATGAGTATGGATAATTACATAAAGCAGACCCCTATTTCAAATGATCATACAAAGAGTACTGCTATGTGAATAAAAGGAATAAAATCCAGGATGGTGGCTACATTTCTCACCAGAAATAAGCTTCTCCAAAGAAAGAAATCTGCAGAAGCCCCTGAAACCCACTGCTAAGGAGCAGAGGTTTAGGATTGCTGAAGATAGAAGCCGCATATCTGAGAGGGGAGGATAATGTTATACATACTTTGTGTTTGTAAACTCTCTGATGTGACCAGTTCGTAGGGCAGGTCCTGTGGCAGACGGGTGCTTGGTTAGCCACAGAAAAGGCTGTTCTTAGATTCTGCTGGGCCTTTTGTTTTGTTTTGGTTTTTTTTTTCAGAGTTAGACAGTAGCAGGAAACATATCTATCTAAGACCAGAATCATCCAAGAAATAGACAGGCCCCTTTTGCCCGGCACTAGAAACAAATAACCACCTGCATCTTGGCTGGTTTCACCTGGAATGGAATGAGAAGAACCTCTTAGTCCACTGCTAAAAAGGGTGGGAGACAAGATCTGACTGAAGAATGATGATTTCTCCTGTGGATTCTGCAGAAAGATACACTCTTTGGAAACCTATTTTTAATATATAGTTTGTTTTTAAAGCTAGTAAGAGCCAGTCTTGTACTTCTAACACAATGGACAGATCAAAATAAGATGTATGTGCAGCTTCAGATCTGTACATTTCTTGTTCAATTGTTGTTTACATAACATATTCAGAAGGGATTTTCTCTCTATTTGGCTGCTAAATCTTTAAAAAATATTTTATCTGTGATCCATCAGTTGCCAAGGAGAGGAAATAAATAGACTATTACCTTGTTAGTGTGCTTGCTTTTGTATTAGCTGTGAAAACTTAATGGTAGTCTTTAAGAGAGCATGGTAGTCTTAAAAAGAGCAAAGACTGTAAAATATAATCTGGAAAATGTAATATTTTTTCCCCCCATTTTAAAAAGCAGCAGAGAATTAGATAAGAAAAGAAAGCAGCAGATCAGATTATGGTCAAATTCTGAAATTAATTATGTCTATGAGACATCTAAGCCAAGACATTATATCAAAGTAGAATCCCACCAAACCTATTTAAATGTACCTGATCATTATTTTAGCATACTTGCAGGTACAAAATCAAAATGGCAATTGTGATTTTCTGAGAGCCTAGTTACAAGCACAAGAATATAAGGATTTTTATCTCTCCCTTGTGCTGTTTTTCAATCATGGGGAATATTCAAAACAGCTCCAAAGACCTTTCCTTTGAGGATGCTGTTTCAGGGGGAAGTTGTTGCAATCAGAGGGTTCTGATGTGACTTTTCAATGTTGGCTCTTTTGCAAAAAGCTGTGTTATCTTAAGGACATGAATAATTCATGTAAGGATAAATGTCCTAAACAAGAAAAGAGGCTACCATTGGTAGCAAGTATATTTGGATGCCTGTTTATTTTTTTATGTTGCCAGAAAAATCACAAAGTCCTTTTAGTACATTCAAGAGAGCCAGTCTGTGCTAGAAATTCAGATTTTATGCTCTGGTGAAAGGAAAGGTAGGGTAGGGCAAAGCAAATTAAATATGTGATTGAAAGTACATTAGTTTAATGGTCAATTAATAAAAGGGGAATATTTTAATTGAAATAACTTTTATGAGCTATTCTTTTCATTATACACTTTTAGGGAGTTAATTATGGTACCTTTTTCTAGATAGAACTTTCTTCCATTTATTTCTATCTGTTTTCATTTACTTAATTCCTTTCTACTCCATAAAAAAACACCCTTGATAGTAGTAACTTTTATTTCTGGTAAAAAGTCATTTGGAAATATTCCTTCTGTTCATAATGAAATTTTCATGGTAACAAACATTAAAGTTGTGTTTACATAGAATATTGTAATCATAGAATCAGTTGGAAGGGGTTTTTAGAGTTCATTTAGTACAACTCCTCTGCAATGCACAAACATTTTCAATTTAATCAGGTTGCTCAGAGCCCCATCCAACCTGACCTTGAATATTTCCAGGGATGGGGTATCCAGCACCTCTCTGTTCCCAGGCCTCACCACCCTCACAGTAAAATAATTCTTCCTTGTATTTAGCTGGGATCCATCCTCCTTTGGTTTAATACCATTACCTCTTGTCCTATTGCTACAAACTTCATTAAAGAATGTCCTTCTGTCTTTCATACAGGATCCTTCTAAATATTTTCTCATGATTCTTCTGATAATTTTTAGCCCTCCTCTGAAGCAATCCCAACACTTACATTCTTTCAACCCACGTATGGGTTGAAATACTCTTTGCTTTCTTTTAGACCAGGATTTTTACAAAGCAAAGGAAAAAGCCAAATGCTTTGAGGAAAGTATCTGAACTTGTTGTTCAGGTACCTTACTTTCATGTGAGACAGACCTGTTTGTACACTGTGTGTTCCCATTTGGGTCAGAATGAGATTTTTCCTCTGGGACAAAAGAGTGGAACAGCTGGGACCTGTCAAAGGATGTGTGCAGCTCCCCTCACTGTGGCTCCCTATTATATCTAAACTTGCCTACCTAATTTTCTACATCTGAACCTGAGCAGTGACCAAATTTAAAAACAAACCACTGAGCGGGATACTTCTCCTCAGACACTCAAAACTTTTACCAGTTTAACTCCTTCATACCTGTGATATGCTCCTTACTGAATTAAAATATTTTTCTATTCCTGTGAGTTGCAGAGTTCAGAGAAAACTTCATCTCCTTTATTTGTGCTGCCTGACATAAACTTAAAACACAAGGGAAATCAAAGGAACCTTATGGTGGCTTTTTTGACAGGTGGACAATTTCTGGAAGCCACACTTTTGGAACAGGAAGCCTGATACTACATTGTAAGATACTCAGTGGAAATCAGGATGTGTTTGGTCACAAAACCATTTAGGTCTGGGAGC